ACGAGTAGCTGTCATATAATGAATCACTCAATGACAATCTTTCAGGTGTACTGCTTCCCTCAGACGTATGATCACCAGCACTGTGTTTTCGCTCACTTTCGTCGTCACTCTCACATTCACAGATAACATCCTCCACAACAATGTTAGTCTGGCTGATCTTATTTCCATTCTTCAGATGATTTTCCTGTAAAAATAGACAATATCAAAGATGAGAGTTGGACACAGTGAGTGATGTTATACGACATACAACCAAATGACTTTTCATCACTTAACATTTTTCCATCTTACGTAAAATAAACATGCCAAAATATTCACAATTTTTTTTCATTTGAGCAAATGGCAATGGCCAACATTAACAAATAAATTATGGTGTAAAAATAACTGAAAAGCTGAAAAACAATCAGCTGAGAATACCCCAAGGAATTGTGGGAGTTAAGGGGACTGCATTATTTTTGCATTTATTTGTATTTAGCAATCCTACATGCAGATCTAAAACGACCTTTCATATTAACATAGATGAAGTAAAATGATTAGAACTTTTATGATACACAAACTGCACCAAGGCAGCTGGGAAATTGTTGGTTGATTAGTTATTTACATATTATTATCATTAATATATGCATGACATATCATTTAGTTTCAGTGATACAGTGATTAACAAAAATTCTTTCTTTTCGTTTTTGAAAATTCTGAATATTTGTGTTAGTTTGAGGATGACTTTCAAATTTAGTTCATTTCAGGACAACTGAAAAGTATACACAAATGATATAGTGACATATGATGGCTACGACATTAAAATATTTCATTTTTTAGTTTTTTTTTCTCCAAATCAGCTAGAGATTTTTTCTGGCAAGTTGAAATGACTTTCTTTGAATATCAACAGAAAAACTAAAATTAGCTTGGATTATGTGAATTTAGTACTAAATTTCCTGGATCTCCAGGACAGTGATGAGTGTTTACTGTACAGTCAACATGACGTGTGTTTATTGTACAGTCAACATAATGAGCATTTACTGTACAGTCAACGTGATGAACGTTCACTGTACAGTCAACGTGACGTGTGTTTATTGTATGGTCTATGTAATGAGAATTTACTGTACGGTCAAGGTAATGAGCATTTATGAGTGATGAGTGTTTACTGTATGGTCAAAGTGATGAGCATTTAATGTACGGTCAACGTGATGAGCATTTACTGTACGGTCAACGTGATGAGCATTTACTGTACGGTCAACGTGATGAGCATTTACTGTATGGTCAACGTAATGAGCATTTACTGTACAGTCAACGTAATGAGCATTTACTGTATGGTCAACGTGATGAGCATTTACTGTATGGTCAACGTAATGAGCATTTACTGTACGGTCAACGTGATGAGCGTTTACTGTACAGTCAATGTGATGAGCATTTACTGTACGGTCAATGTGATGAGCATTTACTGTACGGTCAATGTGATGAGCGTTCACTGTACAGTCAATGTGATGAACGTTCACTGTACAGTCAACTTGACGTGTGTTTATTGTACGGTTAAACCCACATGTAGACTATAAATGGAACCCTAAACAATAGGGATTAGTTCGTTACGCGTCCTGCTGTTGTACACAGCTCCACAAAATATTTTTTCAGTAAATTGCGTTTTTGGGTGTACTTTCGGCCACTATGTTGTATCAAAAATGGATAGGTGTGACTATGAATATACTAGCCTTGGTGTGACGTTACGATTGTGGTCACAAATAGCGTGTACGTTGAGATTTCGATCAAGTAATGACAGAAATGACCACGGATCAACCAACGCGTTACTAAATGCAAAACTGTCAATCAAAGTCATGTGACATAGTCAACGTACCCCATGATGAGCTGGCTAACTTATCCAAACATTTAGTTAGTTTATAATCCAAATCTGCTTATCCATGTAGCGGATTCAGTGAAAACAATGGAGTCGCAGTCCCGACAAGACTCCAAGAGCAAGAAAATACATTTATTTCCACAGCCTGTAAAACACTGGAAATATTCACGTGTCCGGAATATTGGCGGCCATTTTGATTTTCCACTCAGCGTTACTTTTGCATTGAAAATAAAAACAAGAATTCTCCGTGTCATAAATTAGCATGTAGTTTT